TTCAGGCCAGATGCCTGGAGGTTAGACGGCCTTTATGTAGAAGGGAAGTGGGGCACAGGGCCAGATTGGCCAGCCTTTTATTGTGTTCCTGGCAAGTCCCCTGGGTCCTGGTGTGAGTAAAAAACAAACCAGAAGAGGCTGACGCCCTGCAAGCTGTGATGAGGGTTAGGGTTGATGGGGCAGCTCTGAGCCAGAAAGCATTGTTTGGGATGAGGTAGGTGTTCATGCAATCGTCCTGGGGCAGGACAGGCTTGTGTATGTCGTGTGGATATGAGTGCATTTGAGTGTGAAACCCATGTGAAGAATACATGCAAGTCGCTTATGTCTGTGCACACAATCCCCAGCACTTGATAAGACTGAACAGTAATTAATTGTCTAGCTTGCTCCCCATAGCAAATCGGGGTAGTAGAAAAGGCAGGAATTATTATTGTCCCATTTTAGATGGCAGACACAGAGAGGTTAGTTGACTTGTAAGGGTCAACAGAGTGTGAAAAAGGCAAGATTCAAACGCAGGTCTGTGTCGCTCCAAATTTCTTGCTTCTTCCAGTCCCCTAGGAACATGGCAGGTGTGTATGTACAGGGTGGTAGAAAGGGAGATATACTTGTGAGCATGACCCAGGCTGATGAGACCACATCCACCTGTTCTGGAGAGAGGAGATCTCTCTTCCAGAGGTGGAGGTGTTTGCTAGAAAGTTAGGGCTTCCAAAATTGAATCACAGCTTAAAATGCACAGAGGTTATGGTCAATAATAATCCAGATTATCACAGCTAAAGTCCTCGCATCTCTGGAGAAAGCCTCCTCGTCAGCCCTCCCAAACTAATCTCACATCCTCATTATTCCTCTGATTATTCCTATCATTGTGGTTTTCAGACGTTGATCATTCCATTAGTGCTTTTCTCCAGAGCTCAGAATTCCTTCTGATAACATCTACTTTGTGTTCTGCACATTTCCTGGGGTGAAGGAAGGGGCAGAAACAAAGCTGATTGTTTCTCATATTATGAAGAGAGAAACTGAGGCCCAGAGGGGCCTTGTCCAGGTCCACACATCCTGACTGATTCAAGGGGTCCTGGTCAGGAAGAGGACTCAACGGCCAGCTGTTGCCTTCTGTCAGGCAGGAACGAATGACTGGGCAGCTGCCAACTATTCCCCTGGGCAGGCAACTTGCCCAGCCCCTGGCATGAGTTCCTCAGAAGTTCTGTCCACTCTGGGAGGGCTGGGAGGCACTGTGGATCTAAACCGAGCCCCAGTCCAGGAGGAGGGAGGGAGGGGAAGCAGCTCTCTTTGAAGAGGAGCTATGGAGAGGACTGCCGGCTAGTTGGGTCAGGAAACTGCTAAGCCAATATGTGGAGGGAGAGAAGGAGAGAGCCAGAGTTTTCTAAAGGAAAACCTAGAGCTATTTTCCTCTTAAACTTTTTTTTATAAATTTATTTACTTCTTATTTATTTATTTTTGGCTGCCTTGGGTCTTCGTTGCTGCCCACGGGCTTTCTCTAGTTGCAGCGAACAGGAGCTACTCTTTGTTGCGGGCTTCTCATTGCGGTGGCTTGCCTGTCTTTGCTGCGGAGCACCGGCTTTAGGCCCACGGGCTTCAGTAGTTGTGGCTTGCGGGCTTAGTTGCTCCACGGTATGTGGGATCTTCCCGGGCCAAGGCTCGAACCCGTGTCCCCTGCGTTGGCAGGCGGATTCTTAATCACTGCACCACCAGGGAAGTCCCTCCTCTTAAACATTGGTATCTAGTATTTAGTGATCCAGCAGGTCTGGAGTGGGACTCAGGAATCTGAATTTTTAACAAGTGTCTCCAGGTGATTCAGTGCAGGTGTCCAAGAATCACATTTTTAAAAAATGAAATCTACAATTGACTTTAATGTACGTCCCTAAGTAAGAGCTTTTTCTTTTTCTTTTATTTTCTTTTTTTTGGCCGTGAGTCATGCGGGATCTTAGTTCTCTGACTAGGGATCAAATCCATGCCCCTCAATTTCCTCACCTGTAAAATAAGGATGCTTATAATAGTAGCTTTCTCATAAGGAAACTGCAAAGATACAATAACATGATTTATGTGAAGCACATAGCACATACATGGTGCATGTTAATTCCTCAGCAAGTATTAACCATTATTATTTGTTCCAATTCCTCCTTCCCACCTCCACCCCCACTCCCACCAGAGGAAGATACAAGTCCCTATTGGATTAATATAGGGACTTGTCACCACAGTATTGTTTTGGTTGTGGGCAGTCTTTGGACCTTGCTTTGAGGATTCCTGCTCCAAAGCCGTTCTCCTCCCATCACTCTTCTGATACCCTTGCTGTGGATAATGTCTTTCCAATAAACTACCCTGCCTTTCTCATCTCTCTTTCCTGCTCAGTCTCCCCGCCAATGGCAAACAGCCCTCCTTCACATCATCCAAAGTGATTTGGCTCGGGATGTGTCCTGGAAAGTAAAAACATACAGCACGTCAGTTGTGGAGCTGCAGGTAGGCCCCAGGATTCCTGAAGATCACAGAATTTGGTGCTCTGGGACTTATGAGTAAGCCTCATAGGCGGTCAGGGAACTGAATCCCCCTGCTCCCCTCATTCTAACCATGGATACACACTGTCTTTTTGGGAAATAGACATATCCTGTACAGAGGTATGGTTGAAGCCCAGGGTGGGTGTGTGGGCAAAGAAAGCTCTGTTCTGCATAAACTCTTGCAGGCACTCGCAAGCAGAAATGGAGTGGGGAGGGGTGAGGATAAGATGAAATAATCCAACCAAGGACACAAAGGGAAAGCAGAGGAAGTCAACTTTCGAACACAATAGTGGTGCTAGTTTTCAGGTTCCTGGACCAGGGCTAACCTCGGCACTGGGCTAACCAGGGCACTCTCTAGGATTGCCAGATAAAACAGAGGATGACCAGTTAAACCTGAATTTCAGATAAACGATGAATAATTTTTTAGTATAAGTATGTCCCAAATATTGCATTGACACATACTTATACTTAAAAATTATTTGTTGTTAATCTGATATTCAAGCTCCCGTACTAGATTTAGCAACTCTTCTCGATGCTCAGCCCTTCAGCATCTCCCTCCCCCAGGCTCACTGCAGGGCTTTGCCTGAATCTGTAGCTGTGTCCATCTGTTCTGTCCTTAGCTGAGAACCTTGGTCACAGTCTGCCGCTAGACTGAAAGCTCTCTGAGGGTAAGACCCAGGCCTTGTCCACCGTCTCCATTCCAGGCAGAGATGCTCCCTATAGATGTGCACAAGGGCACCGGCAGAGAGGGGGCATGAATTTACGAAGAAACCCACCCTCAACTCTGCCCGCAGCGGAGCCGTTGCCGGATTGTGTCTGAGCCCTTGAAGGGCGCCTTTTTCTCATTGATCTGCCCAAACGAGCGCCTGTTTCTAATTGGTTCGCCCAGAATGAGTGTCCCCTTTTCATTGGCTAGTTGTGAGGTGAGCGTGGCCTATTTCCAAACAGTCTGCCCCAGGAACGCCTATTTCTGAGAAGTCCAATCAAAGAGGCGCCTTTTAAAAATTCCTCTGTCCAAGTAGCGCCTTTCTCTAACAACACAAAAACATCTTGTGCACTACTAAGGCCCTAAGACTTCGGATAAGAACACTGCGTTACATTTGCTTAGCGCTTTATAGATTCCAGATTACCTTTACACACATTAACTCATCTAAACCCCACATCGACCCCCACAGGTGGGTATCATTGTGCCATTTGCCTTTTACAGGTTAGCAAACTGAGCCTGGAAGAGAGACAGCAAGCCGTCTGCAGTCACTAAGGCGGATAATGAAAACAGTTTACTTTTGCTCAGTACGAGTTTGACTAAGCTTTTCACGTAAATCATCTGTCCACCCTCACTAGGACTGTGTGGGATACATAAAGCCAGGCACTTTACACTCATTTTCTCAATCTTCATGCAACTCTGGAAACTAAATATTATTCACTATCATTTCATTGATGAGAAAATTGACGCTCGAAGTAAATTCTTTGCCAAAGTTCACACAGCTGCAGTCTACCTTTTACTGATATAAAATGCGGAGTGCATGATGCCAGGTACGGTGCTCAGTTATTTACAGGCATTCTCTCATTAAATATTCCCTATTATCACGTGATGTCGGTATTCTATTATCCCCATTCACTGCTGAGAAAAATAGGTTCAGAGAGGGTGAGTGACTTGCCCAAGACCACACAGCCAGCAGGTGGCTGAGACAGGATTCACACAGCTAGCAAAGAAGCAGATCACGAGCTCAAATTCAATTCTTCTGACCCCAGCCCAGGGCTCCTTCTCTCACACCTCAGGGCCTCGGTCCCTGCCAGCCCGGCTGAAACCATCAATGACCCTCAGGTAGGCCAGAATCCCTCTTCATCGAAGCCTTAGGTAGCCACAACCGCCAGGAGAAGACGTTTCCTCCCCTGTCCTCCCCACAGAGATCCGGATCGACTGGAGGTGGCGGACTAGAGGACGGACGACTGGCGCGGGGCGAGGCCACACAGCCTGCGGAAGAGGCTCTGGCACCGCCGCTTGTTCCAGGAGCCGAGGCGTGTGGGTGGGGCCGGAGTGCCGGGGTCCCGCCTCCTCCTCTCTCTTTCCCCTCCCTCCCTCGCCTCTAGGTCCTGGGCTGGCGGACCCGCGGGCAGGCACTACCGGGCTGGACGACCTCGACCCGGCTCCCGGCGAAGCGCCGCGGAGGAGCTGCCCGGCGCGGATCCCGGGTACGGGCGAGCCCCTGCAGCCTTCCCCTCGGCGCTGGGCCGGCACTGGGCCGGCGCAGAGCTGGAGCATCCGCGGGGGCCCGGGCACGGAGGACCGACGGCCGGCTGCCCCGCGCCCCGTGCCCCGTGCCCAGCTGCAGGGGCGGCGGCGACATGTACGCGCGTGTCGGCCTCCTGCTGCGCGCCCTGCCGCTGCTGCTGTGGGGCGGCCTGGACGCCCAGCTCGCCCAGCGCGTAGGCCAGGAGCTGCCCAGGGAGGCGGAGGTACGCGGTGTGTGGGGGGCGGAGAGGGTCCGCGTGCTGGAGACCCGCCCGAACTTTGCAGTCAGGCCACCCAGCCGCCCCATCTGAGCTGACCATCGGCGTGACCCTCCCTTGTCCTCCTCACCCTTCGCACTTGAACACAAAGAGCCTGGGGCAGCATTCTCTCCCCTCCCACCCCATCACCCTACCCCACCCCCGAACACCAAGCCAGGGCTGGAACCACACGGGCAGGCGGATCTGCACTGATTTCCCAGGACAAGGGGAAGGGGCAGCGAAAAGATAGGATAGACATGCAAGAACTGAGGGAGAGGGAACCCCTACACCCCTGTTTAGCGGGGAGCCACTGTCCCTCAACGCCTAGTCTGGGAGACTTAGCAGTTCATTCATCACGCGCTCTCCCCAGGTGTCGGACGCTGCGGAGACTCCCAGATTGCTGGCGAGAGCGTACTGCTGTCTGGCCCTGGCCGGGGACACAGGGAACAGCTCTGGCTTCCTGGGCCGGTGCTGCCCCTGACCAGCTGGGGCTAGTGAGCGCCCAAGCTCAGAACTTTCTACATCTGTAAAATGGGTGAGAGTAGCACACACTCTCTCTCTCCCTTTTTTTTTTTTTTTTTTTTTGGCTGTGCTGTGCGGCTTGTGGGGTTTTAGTTCCCCGACCAGGGTTTGAAGCCATGCCCCCTTGCAGTGAGAGCGCAAAGCCCTAACCACTGGACCGCCAGGGAATTCCCAAGAGTAGCATACTCTTAAGAGTTGCTTCTAAGGAGCTTTAAACAGTGCTTCAGGACTGAACTGGAGAAAAGGGGGTGGGGAAGTGGAGGTGAACCTTAAAGATTTCCCATTTCATTTTCCTCCTTTGGACTCAACTGCTTGGTGTAGGTTGCACAAGGGGAATTTTTGTGAGGTGGGGTTAGAGGTGAACTTGGAACGTCTACTTTCTAGATATAGGTGATTGTAATAATATACCAGTTTCATTTCTTTCTTCCCCAAAGGAACATCACTGTCTGTGTTCTTACCTCTTCTCTGGATTAGAAACTGGGGTCACCACTATTTTAAGGAGAAGGGAGGCAAATAAGTTTTAAATGACTGAGCCCAGCACTTTGCCCTGAGACTCTTAACAGAGCATCTTTCCTGCTGTAAAACTGCCAGTTATGAGCTTCTCAGTATCCCCACTCCCCTCCCCTAGAAGAGAGAGACATGCTGAATTTAAGAACCCTGCAAAATGAGGAGGACTGCCTCTGAACCACTCTTCCTCCACCAGCCCTTTCCCATTACTGCTCTGGAATATTTGGAAATGACCCTGCTTCCACAAGGGGGTCCTCTCTCCAACTCCTTCACTCCCTCCCATCCAAGCACTAGTCTCTTGCTCTGTGCTCTCTGCTTTTGCACATTCGGGAATCCCTTTGTTTCTCTGAGTTTAGAGTCTTACAACATCAAGTGCAGAGTCCTCCTGGCCCCAGGAGAAGGCTTCTGTGTACCAAGCCAAGTCTTGTTAAGAGTTCCATCCCACCTCCCCCCAGGTCTGGGTCCCAGGCAATCCTTGGCAAGAGAACAGAGACCCTATCTCTGCCGCCCATGCCTGCGGTGGCCCCAGATGGAGAGAATTTCATCTTGGGGTGTGCTTGGGAAATGTAATATCTAGCCGATTAAGTCTCTTTCCATCTATTTAACATAACTGGGGGAAGGGGATTTTTTTTACCTCTGAGAGCAGGGAATATTTTAAAAGCATAAAGAACTCTGGAAATGTGTAATGGGGGTGTGTCCCTATATGCATATATATATATGCAAATTGTGTGTCTGTGTCGGTATGTCTATATGTGTTTCTGTATATGGTCAATTGCATGGGCTTCAGTGTCAGGCAGACCTGTGTGCAAACCATCAGTAAATTATTTAACCTCTCTGAGCCTCAGTTTTCTTCTCTGTGCTATGGGGGTTAGTAATGCCTATTTTACAAGATTTGGGTGTGGTTTCATGAGATAACGTATGTGAAATACATTCTAGGCTTAGCATGGTACCTAGTATGTAGAAAGCAGTCTAACAAAGGAAGTTGCTCTCAATGTTGTTCTTGTTATTTTAGAAAACAGACCTTCAAATTAAAGTCCTGGCTTGGTGACTAGCTCTCCTAGAACAATAATACAGGACAAAATATGTAAAACAACAATTTTCAGCATTTGACAACAGGGCTATAATTCTTAAGAGATGGTGTTGCAGTTACTATGGCTACATTAAAATTACTTCAAAATGCAGTGAAGTAAAAGAACCATGTATTATGTCCATAGATATTGTGGGTTAGAATTTCAAACAGGGCACAGCAAGGCAGCTTGTCTCTGCTCTGCAGTGTCTGGGGATGGAACCATCTGAAGGCTGTTTACTCACCTCTCTGGCAGTTGACACTGGCTGTCAGCTGGGGGCCTCAGTTCTTCTCCATGTGGGCCTATCCACATGGTCTCTGCATGTGGGCTAGTTTGGCCTGCCTCCAAACATGGTGGTTGGGTCTCCAAGCTGAGAGCTGAGAGAGAGAGAAAAGAGAGTGAGAGATGCAGAAGTTGTATCTCTTTGTGACTTAGACTAGGAAGTTGCATAGCCTCACTATTGCTGTACTCCACTGTCTGGAGTCACAAACTCCAGGTCAAGGGGTGGGAACACAGACCCCACAGTTGGTGGGAGGAGTGCTGACATCACATCGTAAGGAGAGCATGAGGATGAGAGATGTTGGGGTCATTTAGGGAAATACAACCATCCATAGAAAGGAACCTGCACAAAGTGAGCCCCCTGATCACCCTGGCTCTTTGCTCCGGTTCATTTCCCTGACCGCAGTGCAGGGAGCCAGACCCCCAACAAAGCACAGCAGTCCTGCTGAGCTCATAGACAAAGGTCAAAGTTCAGGAGATGGAAAGAAAGAAATAGTAAAACAGCTGTGTGATCTTAAGCTTGTCTTTTCCCTTCTCCAGTCGGCAGATTCCTCTTCTGTAAAATAAGGGAGTTAAATTTCTTAAATGATTTTTAAGATTCTCTCCAGCACTAACATTCTTTAACTTTGGTATGTTTGTACGCCTTTGCCTCTGTGTGTATGTGTGTACACATTTCATCTACCTATGTCCGTGTCTATCTATCTGGATGTCTCTGTGTGTATTCCTGTGCCCTGCATGCCTGGCTCTATGTGTCCCCTGTGTGCACACAAAGAAATAAAATCGAGGGCTTTCCAGAGTGGGCTTTGCCTTGCAGGGGACTGACTGCTTACAAAGCTGCATTGTGAACAAGTTCATTGTTGCCCACTTAGGAAAACTAGAGCTGCTCACAACATTCGTGAGCAGGAACAGTCTCCGCTGCTGAGTTGCAAGATTGAGAGTTAATGAATGACATCATCACCCTGGCCCCCCTCCCATTCCCAGCCAGGCCCTATCCTGTTCTTGGGCAACACAGACTGTCCCGAGAGATCTATCTACCATGCATTGCCTGGACCTTCTTTAGCACAACCCGGCAATGTGTCCAGGACCTGCCCTCCACTCAGTAATCATGCATAACTGCATGGCTATTCCCAGTGTGCCAGTGCAACAGGAAACTGGGTAGTTTGTTTCTCCAGGGACACACTGGAGCTTCTGTGGAGTATCCACCACCAGGTGCAGTGTCTGTTTCTCATACCACAGATCCATTCATTTTATTTTGTGTGAGTCAGAAACCCAGAAGCCCGGGCATGGAAGCCTTTCCCAAGAGCTCAGCTCAGTGATTCATAGGGGGCAGACGAGGCTCTGAAGTGTCCCAGAGGACCACAAGTTGATGGAAAAGCAATTGCCAAGCCAGTCTGAAAACCAAGACATCTATTAATAGGAAAAGCTGGATGGTGGAAGCAGGGACATAGAAGGGAGAGATTGTTGGACAACTCCTCCTAAACACAATCTTGGTTAGGACATTATTTTGTGCCTTAAACTTCGCCCCACACCCAGTGAGGACTATGGGTCCATACAGTCTGGTTATTTGGCATTAGAAAAAAATACAAGATGGGATCTGGGTGGAGACTAGCCAGCTAATGTTTTCCAACTTCCTTAAGGATGGAAAATGAAAGAAGGCACGGGGATTACAGTAAGAGGTATCTAAGTTATACCTAGACAGAACTTTGTGAATATGGGATCAGGGACAAGGGAAAGGAGAAGAGGAAGGGAGTCAGACAGAAGGGAAGGGGAGGTCTTTGCCCAAAATAAAGGAAAGGGGCGGAGCTTGTCCCACTGCCCTGAGAACTTCAGTAGGTTTCAGAAGTCAGAGAGCAAAAGCAATACTTTCTGGAAGCAGACGTTTGTCTTTGTGAAGAACACACTTGGGTGCTGTTGAATACCTGTGGCTTGTCATGGGAGATGTGGTCCTAGTCTCTTTGGAGTCCCCTGCCTGAGCAGGTTCTTCCCTCTGCTCCACCCCTGGGCCTGCTCGTGGAGGAGACAGAAGGGATCCAGCTAGAAACACCCCCAGTTTTACCTTTTTTATATTTGAGGGCCGTCTCCCAGTGGTGAGAGCAGCTTGGACCCTGCTCCTTCGGTTTTAAAGCCTCTGAGTCACTTGCTTATTAGGTGTCAGAGGATTTAGATTCAAGTATGAAGCACTACACTCCCTTGAGATTTACCTTCCTCATCTTTAAAATGGGAAGAACAACACGTGTCCTGCCTATGTTCTTGGAAGGTAATTGTGAAGCTCAAAGAAGGTGAGATACCCCGAAAAGCTTTACAATAGGCAAGAGCTCACTGTGCTCCTGACTACCAGAAAACGTTTTTATTTATGGGACATGGCAAGGCGGAACATCAGCTGCTATCCCCTGCGTCTTGACTTGGCTAATAATGCCACAGGTGTATCAGATGATAAACACAATCACACAGAGTCACTACAGAAAGAGTGGAATCATAGTGAAACATAATATGAGAAGTAATAGATCGTAGGTGAAGCAACACGGTTTCTGCATGAGCTTGCAATTCTTTCATTCTTGGTTTCATTTTTTGCTGCTGCAATTCTTTGATATGGAGGATGTCATGGCCACTCTGTGGACAGGAGACTTGGAAGCTGACCCCTCCTAGACTAATCTACCAAAGGTCCCTTCCAGCAATGAGGCTCCGTGACTATAAATGGAAAAATAACGTTTTTAATGGAGCAACTATCATAAAGCTTTCCCAGAGCTGCTTCTTGCTGGATTGTCACGACACTCCTGTGAGAAACATAAAGCAGTAGTCCCATCCCCATTTTATATTTGAGGCACAGCTTCATATATATATAAAATTTTATATATATATATATAATTATAGCTTTGCCATAGTTCACATAGCTAATCAGTTGCAGAAACAAGGCTACAATAAGAGAAGGAGCTGGAGTAGATCTTAGCTCTAATCCAACCCCCCCCCCAATTTTATAAAAGAGGAAACTGAGGCCCAGAGAGGCACAGGACTTGCTTAAGGGCACACAGTTCACAGCAGCACCAAGAATAAAACTCAAGACACTCAGTCCAGGGCTCTTGCCCTGCCGGGTTAGTGACTCAGAGCTCCGGGGTTCATTTTGCTACACCTCATTGCTAGTCTAGTCCTGCTCAGTAATGGCGAGAATTTCCCCTTCCTTCAGGCACTGAACAGGCTGGGCTCTACACACACTCCCAGGACAAGTCAGGACAGATGAAGGACTAGAGCCCCTGGAATTCTGATGCCTCTCAGCTTTCTGGGTCTGGGGAGAACCGTCTTCATTTTCCCCAAACACCACAGCCACCCCCAGGGCTTTGCAGAGGCGACTCCCCAGGGAAGTGGCCCCAGCCCTGACCGAGTGGGTGAGGCAGGTTGGCGCAAGCTTTCAGACCTGAGCAAGGTGAATCACTGGGGGGCACAGCCCTCCAGCTTCCTCTCCATGCAGCTCCAGCCCTGGGCTCCATGGGAGAGAGGATGGGTGGAGGACAGGGCAGAGAGAAAACCTGATGTTTGAACTGTGAGGCAAAGAGGAGCAGCCTGGGCACGGCTTCCATGAAGGGGGACAGCGGTGATCCCAGGTGGAGCTCGGAGAGCCCCCGAGAGAGCACAGGACACCCTCCCGATCCTGTGTCTTCTCCTGGGATCCCTCTGCCACACTGTCACCTGCCCTACACCCCTGCTCTTTCTCCCAGGCAGACGGGCATTTCTCTAACCTTCACAGGGGAAAACAGGCACAGCAAATGGGCAAGCAGAAGAGGGTTAGGGAGGCCTGCAGGAGCAGAGGGCATCTCAACCCTGCCTCCTCGTCACCCCGGGATGTGGGTCTCCCTCCACTCAACAGAACTTCAGGACACTCAGTATTAAGGGCCCCCTTCCTGTAATTAAAAATGTTTTAAGACATGTGCATAGTAAACATAGAATAAGTATAAGGGAGTTCTTAAGTCCTGATAACCCCCATTATAGCACTTCATTGCTTTTATGGAAATATTAAGTGTCAAATTCTTAACATTTCTTTTACTCATTCTTTTGGTGTCTCTTGGCTGGTGTCCTGGATACTTGCTTACTCTGCCTTCTGGAAATTCAGCTCTGCCTTGAAACCCACAGGTCAGCCCAGGACTTCCCCTCTGATGGACCCCTGAAAAAAGCCTCCACCCCCATCCTGCCCTCCACCCACCTTGCCTGCCAAAGTCCCAGGCACGGCAGCCCAGCCAGGAAACAGGAGACGCCGCTAGTCAGTTTCCCCCGTCCTCCCCCCTCTGTCCAAGGCTTCCAAGTTCCTGAACGGGAGCCAAGTCCCTGATAAGGGCTGGGTGGGTTTGGGGGGAGAGGCACAGGGAGGCCCGGCCTGTTAGCCTGTGACCCAGTCTCTCCCAAGTCACTCACTCAGCAAAACTGCTTCTAAGGAAACAATTCGCTGACTTCCTTTAGAAAGCCACTCTGTCCATCGTCACCAAGGGAGAGGGAGGAGGCATGGAAGAGAACCAGGCACCTGGCTGGGGTGAGGCAAGTCTGAGATAAAGCACCTAGAATAACAGAGGTGTAACTGCCTTGTTCAAAGCACTTCCCGTCTTATAGATGGGGTGCATTCCAAAAGCCTCTTGTTAATTTCCCCACTAAGGTAAATCAACCTGATCAACTGTTTATTGAGCATTTACTATATACCAGACAACTATGCTAGATGTACATTGCTATATTTAATCCTTCTGAGAATCCTGTGGGGTTATTTCTGTTCTCACATTGTGAGTGAAGAAATGGAGGCTCAGAGAGGTTAAGTAGTTTGTCTCTGGCCATCCAGCAGGGTCATGGTTGGGAACAGATTCTTGATTCCAAGACCTGTGGCTATTCTATGATGCCACACTATGTTGAGCAGTAAAGAGTCTTCCAGATTAAGTCCCTAGAACTCCTTTAATCCATTTTGCATCCCCAAATGCTGTACCTATGCAAAGGGAAAGAAGAAAACAATAGTGCTGAAATACTAATGAGTTAGCGCAGGAAAACAATAAAATGGACTTGGAAAGAGTTTGTCTAGAATAAGGGTTCCTTATGGAAAGTGACTTTATTGAGAAGAGGATGTGGAGGTCTCTGGAGACAGATATAACGAAATCCACAAAAAGGAGGCGGGATACTTGCAAAGGTTTAGAGGCTTGCCGATCCTGGCTCTTAGTGTCTGGCTTCATTCCCAACTTGTGCCTTTTCCTTGACGCAGCAGCTATGATTGGAGTTGATCTGAGTTAAGAAATACAGCAAAGAAGAGAACAAGGAAGACAGAAAATTATTTCTGGATAGGTAACACAGCAAGGAGGGGTAAAAATGAAGAGTCGATGTGTGTCTCTATAAGAATTCAGCAGCCGAGGTGATTCTTTTAATCCATTGGTGGGGTTTATGAGTGAGAAGTGCAAGCAGGGAGCTGAGTGCATCATTCCCCTGAAGGGCAGGACTGCTGATAGGGATGGGCAGTGAGTCACACACTTCCTTCCACTGGCTTCCAAGAACTATATCCAGCTGATCTGTTGTTGGCCTGGAACTGAGTCCAGGTTCTGACTTTGATACCAGGACTCTTTCTGCTATAGCTCATAGACCTTGTTGGGAAAAGGGATGAGCCTGGGTGTGATGTATGTGACACGGGCCCTCGGAGACCCAGGGAGGGGAAAGGGTGCCACACCGTGGGAAAGCTGACCTTTCTCTCTCCCCCAGGCATTCCTGGAGAAGTACGGGTATCTCAGTGAACCCGTCCCCAGTAGTCCCGCCTCCACGCGATTCAGCAATGCCATCAGGTAAGACAGAGGGATGTGGAGGACTTGGTGGTGCTGGAGTGCAAAGCTCCGGTCACCTCCTCCCTCCTCTTAGAAGGCTGGTCTCCCACGTGTGCCCAGGGGGTCACACTCCATTGCTCCCTCCCTTGCCCCCAGCATCCTGCTGTCTCCAGGGAAGCTCCCTGCATTCATCCCCACCAGCCAGCCTCGCACTGTGGTCCTTTATCTCAATTCCTCCTAACAGGGAGTTCCAGTGGGTGTCCCAGCTGCCCATGAGCGGGATGCTGGATGCCGCCACGCTGCGCCAGATGACGCAGCCCCGCTGTGGGGTGGCAGATACCGACAGCCAGGTGGCCTGGACCAAGAGAGTCAGTGCCCTATTTACTGGACGTCGGGCCAAAATGAGGCGAAAGAAACGCTTTGCCAGGCAAGGTGAGCACTGTTAAAATCTAGCTGGGCTGGGATTCCCCAGCGTCCTGAAGCGTCCTGGCCAGAAAAATACGTCTCATCCTCGGACTGGGCTCTGTGAATAACCTCGCTCCCCTAGGGTGGGTGAATAGGACCTCTCAACCCAAGGACCATCTTTGTGAACACAGATATTTAAGTCAGAATTATGCCTAAATTGATGAATTTTCTTTTTTTTAAATTTTTCTTTATTTTTTCATTTAAAAAAATATTTATTTAGTTTTTGACTGCATTGGGTCTTCGTTACTGCGCACGGGCTTTCTCTAGTTGTGGCGAGCAGGAGCTCTCTTTGTTGTGGTGCGCGGGCTTCTCGTTGTGGTGGCTTCTCGTTGCGGAGCACGGGCTCTAGGCCTGCGGGCTTCAGTAGTTACAGCACGGGGGCTCAGTAGTTGTGTCTCGTGGGCTCTAGAGCGTAGGCTCAGTAGTTGTGGTGCACGGGCTTAGTTGTGCCCTGGCATGTGGGATCTTCCCGGACCAGGGCTTGAACCCGTATCCCCTGCACTGGCAGGTGGACTTCTAACCACTGCACCACCAGGGAAGTCCCTAAATTGATAAATTTTCATTGTGCAAGTATTTTCCAGAGCAAACCCCATCAAACCCACTTAATGCCTTGATCAATTTGCTATGTAGGGCAGTTAAACCATTGCCAACATTTTCCTTTATATTTGACTGAAGTCATTTTCATCAGAATCGATGTTTTTTCAAAAGCATTATTCAACAAAGATGTGATTCATCGATCAGTTTTATTTTGACCACAGCACATTTTTTAACAGCGTTATGGAAATACAATTCACATACCGTAAAATTTACTCGAAGTGTACAACTCAGTGATTTTTAGTATATTCACAGCATTGGGCAACCATCAGCACAATCTAATTCCAGAACGGTTTCATCACCTCAAGAAGAAACCCCATGCCCCGAATGGAACAGTCACTCCCACTCTCCCGCTTCCCAGCCCCAGGCAACCGCGAATCAATCTCCTCTCTGACTCTGCAGATTTTGCTTATTCTAGACATCTTCACACTACAGTTTCTGCCATTGTGATTTTCCTTGTGTAGTTTTGGGTTTTTCCTTCCCTTCCCCTCCTCCACTTCCTCCTTCTTTGTCCAAATCCAATCTTCCAGGATCAGATGTTACAGATCTACGATTTATGAAGGAGATTTGATTCTTCTGTCAATTCTTCATCAATGAGAAGTTTAACTGTGTGTGATTTTTTAAAAATTTATTTATTTTATTTTTATTTATTTTTGGCTGCATTGGGTCTTTGTTGCTGCAGGCGGGCTTTCTCTAGTTGCGGCCAGCGGGGGCTACTCTTCGTTGCGGTGCACGGGCTTCTCATTACAGTGGCTTCTCTTGCTGCGGAGCATGGGCTCTAGGCACACGGGCTTCAGTAGTTGCAGCACGTGGGCTCAGTAGTTGTGGCTCACGGGCTCTAGAGTGCAGGTTCAGCAGTTGTGGCCCACGGGCTTAGTTGCTCCGCGGCATGTGGGATCTTCCCAGACCAGGGATCGAACCTGTGTCCCCTGCATTGACAGGTGGATTCTTAACCACTGCACCACCAGGGAAGCCCTAACTGTGTGTAATTTTAACATCTTGTTTGTACTAAGTCTAGTTTTCTCTGCTCAGTTTTCACAGTTTTCAAGATTCCTAACAAGATGGGGTTGCTCAGTCAGGTTCTCATCTCATTCATTTTACTGTGAGCGCTTAGGGCCATTGCCTCTTTTAATTTGCATTAACAACTCTGGCTGACAATACCAATTATGGACAGAACAAGTGGCACACTGTTTTTATTTCTTAGCTAATTCGTAAGGAAATTGTGACCTGTTCCCCTCAGCTGTTGGAGGATGTCTGTTTCCAGGTGCTTGCCAATCCAGTTCCACTGTGTCTACACATCCAGCCACTCTGGGTCCCCAGTACTGTATGACCGCATTCTGGTAAAACAAGGAGGAGCGATGGGGTCCAGACTCTGGGCTCAAGATGTCCTTGGTGTCAACATGTTCTGCATCCCCCAGTGTTTCTGGATGGCAGAGGGGAAGGACAAGGTAGAATGGGGGAGCGGTGTGAACTGGAGCAGTGTCCCTGGATCCAGAGCTCTGAGTTTAGCTGTGTGACCTGGGCCATGTCACTTTGCTCTGTTTCCTCATCGGAAACAGCTTGTTCAGGTTGCAAAGGAGAGGCGCTGATTACTAAGGGGAAGGGCTTGTTGTGAGAATATGGTAGAAAATGGGGCAGCCCCGGATAGTCTCAATGGCGACACTTCCAGCCTAGAGTCGGTGTCCCAGAGAACTGAGATGATGCTTCCTGGGCACTCAGGACATGACCTGAGCATGAGGGATGCTTCCTCCAGGCAGCATCTCTGCTTCTCATGCCCTAAGGGAGGAACTGATGGAGTCCGTTTGTCACCATCCAATTTAGAGCATCCCTTTTGGACAGAAATTCATACTAAGGCAACTCCCTGTCCATCTCATTATCTGACACTGACCCCTGGTCCAGACAGCAGTGGCCAGACTAGACAGAGAATTTCTCTCTTATTCACAACATGAACCACAGCAGCTTGAATTCTTTCCCTCCTGGGTGGGAAGACATTCCCTAGAAAAGAGCTGCGAGCTTGGCAGGCACCAAGCACTTCCTATGCCTTAGGAAAGAAAATGTAATAATAACAGTTAATACACACTGAGCCTTTATGATCGTGCCAAGCATGGTTCTGAATGGATTAACTCATTTAATCCAATAACAACCCAATGAGATGGGTACCATTGTTATCCTCATTTACAGATGGGGAAAATGAGGGACAAACAGCTCGAGCAACTTTCCCAGGGCCACATAGCCAGAGCGTGGGCAAGCCTTCTTTTCACTGGGAGGACTGTGCGATCGCCGGATGTGAAAAAACCCAGAACGTGGGTAGGGGCTTAAAACGGGATGTGGATTTCTAGGCCAGTGACTTTCCATTATGTGGGTCAATGCTATACCGATGAAACTGGGTTCCAGGTTTGCCAGATAAAATACAGGATGCCCAGTTAAATTTGAATTTCAGATGAACAACTTAACTGTTTTGTTTTCACACACTTATACTACAAAAAGTATTCGTTGTTTATCTGAAACGCACATTGAACTAGGCGTTCTACGTTTTCATTTGCTAAAGCTGGCAGCCTCATTCCAAGCACCAGCTCTGGACTCTGTGCCTGCAGGGCTGATCTTCAATGTCCCTGCTCCCTCACACAGCTGGTGGAGGTGGGGAGCCCCGGGGCGGGGAGGGGGGGGTGTATCTGGATGGAAAACGAAGGAGCAGGGATATTTATTGAGCACCCACCACATGCCAAGCAGCTTCGTGCTGCCTTTTCTTTTGCTGTTTCACTTTTACCAGGAGGTGAGTCTTACCAACCCCACTTTGCAAGTAAGGAAACTGAGGCTTGGAGAGAGTCTGTAATTTGATACGCGAGGTTGTAAGCAAAGGGGCTGGGATTTCAACCCACGTTCTCTCCACAGTATCAGTTGCCTGTTGGGAGTCAGGATCCCAGGGTCCCCCCCGCCCCGACCCCAGGCAAGATTCTAGCTCTCTGCCCTTCCCCATCTCCTTTTCCTTCCCTCTTCCCTTTTGAATTTTGGAGCAAGGGTGTGGTGGGTGCAGTGCCAGGTGCTGCTGTGGCCTGAGGGTTGCCATGGAAACCAGCCCTGCCTGGTCGGGAGTTTGGGATGGGGGCCTGAAGTGGCCAGCCTGCTCCAAGGACACAGACCTACAAGAAGACAGGGATGAGGGCTCAGGCTGCTGGCCAGGCGGTTCCTTTCTCACCAGCAGCCCCACCAAGGACCCCCCCATCCAGCTCTACTCTCAAAGAAAATTAGTCTCTCAATACCAGTCCTATCTGTCCTCCCTAGCCTCCCCACTTCTTGCCCATGGAGTGAGGGGCCTCCCTAGCTGCAAAGAGGCAGAAGGAGCTGCCTCACACTTTTCTAGAAGCTTGAAGGTTTTGTGGGGGGTGGGGGAGAGTCTGAGAGTTGGTCACCCACAGCAGGGTGTGAAAGAGCCCAGCGCCAGCCTGCCCTGTGCCTGGTGAAACTTATGATTCAATGAGAAGTGTTATTGGTACCTCGGGAACCCTCAGGCGGCGCCTCTGGCCTTCCTCCAGGCTTTCCTCCTCTGCCTTCCTTAGAATCCTTCCCTTTTCCCTCCCTGAGGGTTGGTCACTGGCTGGGAGGGGTTGGGTGGCTGCCAGGCCCAAAGGGGTGAGAGAAGGGACACCCCCAACCCCACTTCCATGGAGGATGGAGGGGGAGGGAAAGTGTGCTCAGCTCTTCTGCCAGCTGGAGAATTCAGGAGAATTTCAGCTTGCGCAGAGCCCCTGCTTTGACCCAGAGGAGGGACGTTTAGGCAAATTTATAAGCCTTGAGTCTTAGCAAACGGGCCTGCTTATCTGTGTGGTACAGTGGCCGGCGCACTGGATTTGGTGTCAGGGCCTGGGCTCAGGGCCTAGCCCCGCCACTCACTCGTTCTGAGGCCCTTCCTCCCGGCCTCAATTTCACCAAACTAGAGCAGAGAGATGGATAAGGCGGTGGCCAAACGCCCGTGACGTCACTCCTCCTGCCTGGTTCAGGCAAGGGTACCCCCAGGACAAAAAGGCAGGAGATCTGAACCTTCACCTGCCCCCCAAGGGGAGAGGGGGCCCTGTCCTCTGGCCTGGCCTCCTAGCACAGCCAGGCCTGCCCTGCCCACTCATCACCCATGCTCCAGGGACTCTGGTCCATTTGGGAAACTGAGACCCAAAGGCAGCATGATTCTCGGCTGCTCACGGGAGTCCTGCCTCCGGAGCTGTAAGTCTTCCACAGTTTCAGCCCCTGAGCTTGCAGGGCTCAGAAATAGCCCACGAAAAACTCTGGGATCTGGACCTTCTGAGCACCCTGGTCCTGGGTGCAAGGCGAGCTGCAGAGGGACACGGTTGACCTGGGGCTCGGGCAAGAGGCCAGAGTCTCAGGCCTCAGGGAGGAACTGCAGTTTGAGGCAAAGGAATAGGAACTCTTAACTAAGTGGAGATGGAAAAATCTCTCTTGGTCAGTGACAAACACACCCTTTGTTCTTATTTGTTTTCACCTCAGAGCTCTGCAGAGTCCCTGAGGAAGTGAGGGGGAGGGCCAGAGGTCAGAGAAGGACCTCGAATAAATGGGCCTTGTGGTCTCTGGTCAGCAGCAGGCCCTGGGCACGGGAAAGGGAGCTGGCAGGAGGGTGTGAGGGGTGGAGAGGAGGAAGGGGGAGAGGGCAGTCATGGCTGTGGCCCCCGTGGCTCCACTCCGACACGGTAGACAGGGGCTGGGATTCGCTGCCAGCAAGAGACGCAGCACGGTTTTCCAGCTCAGCCCAGATTGTAGGGAGGATGGCCCCAGACCCGAGACTCCTTCAGGTTGGGGACTCTTCCTGGGTAGAGGCTGCTTATCCCCTGTCATACTGGGACCTCCCCAGGTCGAGCCACTGGAGTAGGGACCGTGCAGGACAAGCGTAGTCTTGTCAGTCTGAGAGCAGTGTCTCCACAGCCAAACAGGGGACTTCCCATTTGGGCTGTGGTTCCTCCGTCACATCAGGGACTTCCTGGAGGAGGACCTATCTCCCCATCAAAAGAGTCCACAGGGAGCAGCCCCAGGCTCTGCAGCAGGTGTGACTGATGCGGCCTCTCTGGGTGGCAGGCAACAAATGGTACAAGCGGCATCTCTCCTACCGCCTGGTGAACTGGCCCCAGCACCTGCCTGAGCCGGCAGTTCGGGGGGCCGTGCGCGCCGCCTTCCAGCTGTGGAGCAACGTCTCGGCGCTGGAGTTCTGGGAGGCCCCGGCCACGGGCCCCGCTGACATCCGCCTCACCTTCTTCCAAGGGGACCACAACGACGGGCTGAGCAACGCCTTCGATGGCCCAGGTGCTGACACAGAGCCTCTCTCCCACACGGCAGGAGGGAAACCCAACTAGGAGAGGCAGTCTGGGGAGGGCAGTAGAGCCTTCACTCCCTCTTCGGCCTTGGCCAAGCTGCAGCCCCCTCTGAAGGACCTTCAGTCTTCCCATCTGTAGAATGGGAACAGTGGTCCCTGCCCTATTAGGTGCCTCATGGCTGAAGGGACGGTCACATGAGGTTCTCCATGGAAAGTGCTTTGCAAACTCTAAAGAGTATTATCTCTTTTGGGAGAAACTTCTGGGGTCTTGTCACCCATCCCCTGCCTCTAGTCAGGCCTGTGCCTCTCTTGTTCTCCAGGAGTGAATGTTCTCCAGACCAAGGCTCTAAAAACAACCAGAGGCCACCACAACCCCACTCCCGCCCTCCCACCACCCACTGCACAGTCACTGCCACAGGGCAAGAGGCCTTCTACCCTCTCCCTGCCACCTGCTTCACACACCCACAGCCCAGACTGTCTGCCCCCGACCTAAAGGCTTACGGCTGCAATGTAAACCGCTCTCCTCCCCTTCTGCCCAACACTAGCCTTCACAACCTGAATGCAGGCCATCTGTGCATCTCCTCCCCACTAGTGAGGCGAGGAGACCTGATCAGGCCCCTTCAGGGTGGGGACTTAAGCCCTTGTGTCGCCTGGGTACTTGGGCCCCACCTCCCCTGCACTCTCCTGCTTTCCATCAAGCCCACTCAGAGCAAAGCCCACTTCCAAGCCCTGCTGCTGAGACCCAGGGTAGGACTGGGAGAGATTTAGGCTCTTCAAGAATCCACATGGGGGCTTCCCTGGTGGCACAGTGGTTGAGAATCTGCCTGCCAACGCAGGGGACACGGGTTCGAGCCCTGGTCTGGGAGGATCCCACATGCCGCAGAGCAACTAGACCCGTGAGCCACAACTACTGAGCCTGCGCGTCTGGAGCCTGTGCTCCGCAACAAGAGAGGCCGCGATAGTGAGAGGTCCACACACCGTGATGAAGAGTGGCCCCCGCTTGCCACAACTAGAGAAAGCCCTCGCATAGAAACGAAGACCCAACACAGCAAAAATAAATTAATTAATTAATAAACTCCTACCCCCAACATCTAAAAAAAAAAAAAAAAAGAATCCACATGTAGCACCCACACGTGCTTGCATGTAACTCACTTCACCCACGATATCTCCATGAGACATTGATATCCATACCCAGGTCCCCAGGTGGAGTCTGGTCACTAAGACGGCACTGGACTGGGAGTCAGCTCTCTGATTTGAGAGAGGTGTTTTGTCTGAGTTCATGTCTTCTCCCTTCGAAACCTGCCCATCTGTCTCCCAGGATTATTGTGAAGGTTAAACAGAAAGGGCTTACATGACTCGAAACAGCTTGGGGCATATTCAAAATTAGAAGCATGTATTCCTCCTACAAATGACCAGCTCTCCACGCCCCAGGAGGCTCCCTTTAAAGGCAGCCTCCCAACTTTTGCCAGTCCCCTCTGGCCTGGGCTCCAAGAAGGCAACGCCAGAAGGACCTTCAGTGGGCTTCTAGGCCAGCATCATTGCAGTGCTGTCTGCCGACTCCTGCGGAAAGTGAATTGTGAGGGGGTAGGACCCTAGAAACTGCAGAATTTCATCTGGGGCCCACTACCAGCTTGAGAATCACTGATCCAGCCCATCTCCCTCTGCTCACTCCTATTACAAGCAGGGAAGCAGGGAAGTAGAGACCCACACAGGACCCTGGCAGAGGGAAGGCAAGAGTGAAAGAACGCAAGAATATATAGACTTTTTTTTTTTTTTGCCCCGCTGCGTGGCATGCGGGATCTTCGTTTCCTGACCAGGAATCCAACCCGTGCCCCCTGCAGTAGAAGTGCAGAGTCCTAACCACAGGACCGCCAGGGAAGTCCTCTACATATGCTTCTCTCTCCTTTTTTTTTTTTTTTTTATAAATTTATTTATTTTTGACTGCGTTGGGTCTTCGTTGCTGCACGCAGGTTTTCTCTAGTTGCGGCGAGCGGGGGCTACTCTTCGTTGCCGTGCGCGGGCTTCTTATCGCAGTGGCTTCTCTTGTTGCAGAGCATGGGTTCTAGGCACGCAGGCTTCAGTAGTTGTGGTGTGCGGGCTCAGTAGCTGTGGCTCGCTGGCTCTAGAGCTCAGGCTCAGTAGTTGTGGCGCACGGGCTTAGTTGCTCCGCGGCATGTGGGATCTTCCTGGATCAGGGCTCGAACCCGTGTCCCCTGCATTGGCAGGCGGATTCTTAACCACTGTGCCACCAGGGAAGTCCCCCCTATATGTACTTATTAATAAATAAGCTATACCTACCCATAAATACACTCAGCACCCAGATCAAGAAACAACATTACCAACACCCCAGAAGTCTCATTAAGCCCCCTTCAGGGGTAACCACTGTCCCTACTCCTAGATCTCGTTGAAAGTAAGTAACGGTTAGTACCTGCGGTAGACACTAAGTATTACATGTAACATACACAAGTACACACATCCCTTTTTAATACTCAGAACAACCCGTGAGGAGCAACTCCCTTATCAACATGCCCATTTTTCAGATCTAAAATCTAAAAGCTAAGACACAGAGAGGTTAAGCTATCTGTCCAAGGTCACACAGCTAGTAAGGGGATAAAACCGGGATTGGAAGCTAGGCAGTTTGGCCCCGTGCTCTTTGTACATCACCCTCCCTCTTAGGCTTCCAGGCCCCATAGCCTAGTCATCTGTTCATTGCTCCACACTTCAGCTTCTGCCAGACTTAATTAGGAGGGAAATTACTCATCAAAAACGCAGCCATGGCGACTTCCCTGGCCCCTTTCTCTCGGACCAATGAACCTCGCCTGGGAGCGTTCCCAAATAAAGCTTGCTTAAGTTCTCAAAAAAAACAAAAAAACAAAAAAAACCGCAGCCATACACACGCCAATGGCATTTGCGCCGGGCGGTGGGAAGTTGGGGGGTGTCGCGGGCGGCGGCTCCGCCTGACCTCCTCGCCGCCTGTAGGCGGCGCCCTGGCGCACGCCTTCCTCCCCCGCCGCGGCGAAGCGCACTTCGACCGCGACGAGCGCTGGTCCCTGAGCCGCCGCCGCGGGCGCAACCTGTTCGTGGTGCTGGCGCATGAGATCGGCCACACGCTCGGCCTGACCCACTCGGCCGCGCCGCGCGCGCTCATGGCGCCCTACTACAAGAGGCTGGGCCGCGACGCGCTGCTCAGCTGGGACGACGTGCTGGCCGTGCAGAGCCTGTATGGTGAGCCCCCGGCGCGCTCGCCACTGCGCTCTCCCCTGTCCCCTGCGCCCCGGGATCCCCAGGGTTCGAACACCGGCTCTTCAGATAGGATCCCCCATCCTAAGCGCAGGAAGCTGGCCTCCCCATCACAGGTCCTTCCCGATGCTGAAGCTTCGGGCTCCCCTCAAATCTTGAGAAACCTCATCTCCTGCTGTGCTTCACCCGCATGCCTGGCCTCTATCATCCCAACCAATTCCTGGGCACAGCCCTCCTCTGCGTTCCAGTTGCTGATTCCTGCCCGACCAGGGCTGCGCAATTCCTCTCATATCCCTGCCCCATCATCCAGACCCAGTCCTCGGTCCCACCCAGACCCCAGAGCCCTCATTCCTGCTCCCAGCTCCAGTGGCTCTCCCCCAACATTTCCCTCTCCGTGAGCTGATGCCCACTTTCCCCCAAGCCTGGGCCTCTGCCTGGCGGTGGACTTAGACAAGGTCTTCTCCCGCAGAATGAACTGACTGGTGCTTCCCAGAGGTTTATCTGGACCCCAGCCCGGGGCTGTGACCCTGAGTACCTGGTGTGGTGGGCAGGGCCAGGATCCCTAGGATCAAGTACCATTCCATCGGGGTCAGCAGTTGCTCTTGGGCAAAGCACTTCCCCTTTTAGAGTCCTCGGTTTTATCTTCTGGGGGAAAAAGAAGGTGGGGGGGATAATAATTGAAGCCCTGCTTACCTCCCAGGGCTGTTGTTCTGGTGGATATGAACATGCTTTGTAGTCTAAGAGACCTACACAAAGGTAATAATAATAGCTGCTATTTCACGAGTGTCTACCATGGGCCAGACACTTAACACACCCATGAGGTATCTTTTTATCCACAAATGAGGAGAATGGGGCTCAGAGACGTTAGATAACTTGTCCAAGGTCAGCCAGCTAGGAAGGTGCAGACCAGGATTCAGGAGCTGGTGCCGAATTCTAAGCTTGGTGGACTCTGCCTCATTCTCATAAGTGAAGTATAGTGATGTCATTATTATAACTGCTGTAATTATCACAGCCCAGGCCCCTGAACTCTGCCCTCCCGCCATCTGCATTGTCCAGGACTCAGGGAAGAGGACCCTCTGCCCTTTTTAGTTCCAAACCCTTGTTTGGTTCCCCCACTCCGATTTTACCCTTTTCCAGACTGTTCGGCAGGAAAGAGGACTTCTGAGTTTGGTGCTATGGTTATAACACCAACAACCAAGGACAATTCTTAACCCCCCACCCCTGCCCTCCTTCCCTGCCCCTCATGTCAGATAATGAAACGAACCAAGGGGGAGGTCTCGAGCACTCAACACACCCCCAACCAGTGTGCGTTCTCTCCCGCTTCCCTCCTTCCCTGTGAAGGGAAGCCCCAGGGCGGCTCAGGGGCCATCCAGCTCCCTGGAAAGCTGTTCACGGACTTTGAGGCCTGGGACCCCCACAGACTCCAAGGAAGGCGCCCCGAAACCCGAGGTCCTAAATATTGCCACTCTTCCTTCGATGCAATCACTGTAGGTAAGATGGTCCCGCGGGTTCCTTGCTTCCTTCTTCCCTCCTCCTCCTCCACATCTCCAGGGGTCTCCGGAGCTGGAGTACAAGGTTGGGGGATGAATTATAAAATCCAGAAATCCCAAGTCACAAGCATTCTGCAGGGTAGCAAGCCCACGCCAAGCAAAACGCTGCTTCCTGCTGCACTTTCCCCTCTGCCCCAGCTGTGCCTGCTGTATCCTCTCTGCTGCATCCTCTCTCGTCAGTTTGGGAAGCTGGGTTCTAGGGAAGCACCTTCCCTGGAAAGAAGGCAGGAGGCCGATGGTCACTCCTCAACTTTCTCTTGTCTCTGGGCAGATGGGCAACATCGACTGTACATATTTCAAGGGAACCAGTTCTGGGAGGTGACAGCTGATGGCAACGTCTCAGAGCCCCACCCACTACAGAAAAGGTGGGCAGGGCTGCCCCCCCATATTGAGGCTGCCGCGGTGTCATTGGAGGATGGAGACTTCTACTTCTTCAAAGGTACCAGCCCTGGGGCAGATGAGAAAATTGAAGCCTAGAGAGGGGAGGAGTCTGCCCAAGGTCAAAAGAGGGGAGGAGTCTCAATTCCATTCTGAACCTGTGGCCCCAGAAACTCTCCCAGGAGATTCCTTTAGTGATGGATTGGGGGGCACAGGTGTCACGGTTGTCCCAGAGAGAGCGCGGGTGGGAGAGTTTCAGAGAAGAGTCTAGAGGGAAGCAGAGGGTGGCTCTGAGCTCTGCAATACAGCAGAAGGACAAACCTTCCTTGGAATCCTGGCTGTGTGAGTCTGGGCCTGTCACTTGACTCTTGGAGCTTGAATTTGCTGAACGGGGAAAATAATCCCTCAGGCTTGTTGGGGAAGGAGGATTAAAAGAACATAATGTCTGAGGAATGTGCAGTATGGGAAAATTGTGTTCATTCATTGATTCAACAAATATTGAGTGCCTTCTACAAACTCGGCTGGAGGTGTTGGGATACAGTAGTGATCAAAACAAAATTCCCTGCCCTCACGGAACTGTTGGTAGTAATGGCCGTGGAGAACGCCCCTGGACTTCCCTGAAGTCTACCACTCACCTGGGAGGGCGCATGCTTCCTACCTGGGGTGGGGAGGTTCCTTCAGAGCAACCTGCCCTCTGCGGACACCTGCTGGAAGTGGAGGCCACAAGAGTCCCTCCTCTACTGTTTACAACTGATCTATTTTGATTATCACAAATACTGACCACCTTGGACTCCAACATGAAGGGGAGTAGGAATATGGGGGGACAGAGGTGGGGTAGAGGACCAAAGGGCGAGCGCACCAACTCACGCTGGCTCTGCCGATGTCCCACAGGGAGTCGATGCTGGAGGTTCCAGGGCCCCAAGCCAGTGTGGGGCTCCCCACAGCTGTGCCGGGCAGGGGGCCTGCCCCCCCACCCGGATGCTGCCCTCTACTTCCCTCCTCTGAGTCGCCTCATCCTCTTCAAGGGCGCCCGCTACTACGTGCTGGCCCGAGGGGGGCTGCAGGTGGAGCCCTACTACCCCCGAGGCCTGCAGGACTGGGGCGGTGTCCCTGAGGAGGTCAGCGGCGCTCTACCCAGGCCCGACGGCTCCATCATCTTCTTCAGAGACGACCGCTACTGGCGCCTCGACCAGGCCAAACTTCGAGCAACGCCCTCGGGCCGCTGGGCCACAGAGCTGCCCTGGATGGGCTGCTGGCACGCCAACTCGGGGGGCACCCTGTTCTGAAGATGCCCCCACCTCTTAGTGAATTGCTGGCGCTCTCTTGTGGCCAACGTGTATCCCCAGCCCCAAGGGCAGACCCTGTCTGGAAGCCTCTGAGCCTCCCTGCAGAAGTCCAGGCAGGAAAGTTCATCTGCATTTGTTCCCTGGAGAATGTCTTTGTGCTGTCAAGACATTGATCTTTGTGGGATCAATTCAACGAGAAGCCGAAAAGGATCCCAGACCCCACGGCCCTTTCCCCAAAGACTCATTCCTCCCCAGGCCTTGGGGATTTTGTTTCTTCCCCTAAAGGTGCAGTTCCTGTCCATGAGGCCACAGCACTGGGCAACCAGGAAGGATGCAAAACTCAATGGAGAAGTTGGGACCACTTTGCAAGACTGTCCCTTCCCCTCAGGGCCTCCCGGCTCCGTCCTTGGAGGATTGTGTCTTATTTAATCAGAGGCCCCACCCCCAGGAAGACTGAATGGATTGAGTACAAGGGTCTCCAACCTCAGGGGTGTCAGGACCCAGAACAAGAAGGAGACCGATGCAGGCCTGCCGGGCCCTGTTTCTTTCAGGGGTTGGGGGGAAGGCTGGAATAAAGAGGTGCTCCCAGCTGGTGGGCCTGGAGGGGGGAAGCAGCCTTCCTTGGACACGTTTCCAGTGAGAGCAGGTGGGTGTGGATGCTACGGAGGCTGCAACCATGTTCTTCCGGTCAAAGCCGGGACCAGTGAGTTGTGTGTGTGTGTAGTTGTGATAGGGAGAGGGGCCCTGCCTCTCTCCTCAAAGATCAAAATATCCTTCGTCCACCTCATCCCCCAGGCCAGATGAAGGACCCTGTGTGGCAGGAGGAGGACAGGGGCCTCCCTGGAGGTCTGCACAGCTGCAGTCGCTGGGGCCTCTGCAGGCCGGGAGAGCTTCGTGCTCACAATGGCCCCATTCTCCTGGCCACACACGAAGCATTCCAGGAGCTCCCGCTGGCCGGCCGAGAATAGCTGGGATTCCTGGAGAAGGACCCAGCTCTCCGGCCTCCCAGTCTTCTGTCCCAGCGGCTTCTGGGGCCGGTTCTCTAGTCCTGCCCCCTGCACACCTGCCAGTGCCTCCTCTGCACACACACTGACCTCAGCCAGACCGGGCTTCCCGCGGGAGGGGAGGAAGGTCCGGCCAGCTTCAGCCCTCAGCTGCCCGTGGGCATTCCTGGCCCGGCAGCTTCATTTTCTTCTCTGCGCGGTGGGGAGAATGGCCTTTGACCGCCCTTGGCTGCAAGTGCTTTGTTCCGCCCTCTCCGGGGGGAGTTGCAGGGAGGAGGCTCTCCGCCTGCCCTTTTCCCTCTGGCTTGAACCCAGGGGAAGGGGTGGAGGGTCGATCTTTATTCCACGCCCCACCTCAAGGCACTGACACTTTGATTAGGGGCTTTATTGAAAGATTTGAGGGAAGGGGCAAGTTTCCCAGAGGGGTTATTTTCTCTAGGCGACGCCTCTGCTCACCGGGCCCGAAGGACGTGAAATACCCCAGAGATGAGCGTGAGGCTGTACCAGGGGGCGCAAGTCAGGTGGGCGGTGGGCACTGCGTGCTGACCCGGGCGCTGGGGCCCTCGGGAGGCGCTGTTGGAGGAATGGAGCTCCAGGTGATGTTGGGCTCCGCATTGATGACAGGTGGGCCCGGTCATCAGCGGTGGGCCTGCTGGGCTGCTCGGAGTGGGGCGCTCCGGGAAGGCGGCTCTCAGGTACGTACTGGAGAGCGCTCCGCGTCGGGGCGGGGGAGGAGAGGGTGGCGGGGAATTTGGAGTCAGGCGAGGATGGAGGGCCACAGAGACCGGGGATTGGGGGGCGCTCAAAGGCCCACGGCAGCCCCCGCGCCTCCAGAAGCCCGCGCCTCCGGCAGATCCTGGTGCTCCAGAAGGCAGTGCGCCACGTAGCTCTGCGAGCTGTGCAGGTTCCTGCACTTCTTGCAGAAAAGGATCTCGCAGCGCGCGCAGCCCCCGCCGCGCAGCCGCCGCCGCCGCGTCTCCAGCACGCACGGCTCCTCCGGGGGGATCCGCTTCCTGCGGGAGGGGGCCGCGGCGCTCAGGGCACCGCGCCGCCAGCTCCCGCCCGGGGCCCTGGCGCCAGTACATCCCGCCCCCGCCGAGCGGCGCGCCCTCACCTGTTGGCGGGAGGGGCCAGGCCGCCGAGCAGTGCTAAGGGGCTGAACCAGCCCCAGAAGCCGCTGTCCGCGCGCCGCAGCAGCGCCACCTGCAGGATGCTGGACTCCTGGCTCAGCGGATAGTACGACACGGAGCCCCGCTCCCGGCCCTCGCCGCCCTCCGCCTCCCCGCCCTCCGCCTCGCTCTCGGCCGCGCGTTCCTCCAGCAGCCTCTCCTCGTCCTCCTCCGGCGCCCCCTCCGCAGCCTCCGCCTCCGCCTCTGCCTCTCTGGTCCCGGGCTGCTCCAGCTCCTTCTTCCACAAGGGGATCTTCACGCCTGCGGGGGCGGGGGGCGGGGAGGCGATCAGTGAAGGGCCTGGGTACCCTGGTACCCTGACTGTTGCCCACAGCCCGACCGCCCGCCCCCCCCCCCAAAAAAAATAGGCAGGCGTTCGAACGACGGTGCGCACGAGATGCCCGGAGCCAGCAGGATTCCAAGAGAGGGTTACAGAGTGTGCAGGATTTCCTGGGCAAAGGAAGGCCTGGTTTCCTAGGTCCCCGCACTTCCTAGCTGAAGACTCGGGGCAAATCACGTCGCTTCTGTCACCTCCGTTCCCCTATCTGTAAAATGGGAAAAAGTAGTGCCTATCCCAAGGATTACTGTAAGGCAGGTATCAGATCGAGTGTGTTTGAAGCGCCTGGCTCAGGGGCCGCGGGAAGCCATCAACAAACAGGTGCAATGAGCCTTGCGAACCGGAGGAGATGGCGGTTCATCACCACCTTCCTTCTAATTGGCTCCGGGGTGGGGACTGATCTCTGTGCAGGCTGTCAATAAACATTAAGTGCACTGATTGGAATTTTAATAGGTGGTTTATATTTTGTTTTCTGGATGGAACGGGATTTCCGTCTTCAAAGTGGGCCATACCTTAAGAAAGCCCAGCAACACCTGCGGCGGGGTGGGCAGGCAGGTGGGCACACAGCGCCTCTGCACTGTTAGAAATGGACGCCTCTGATGAGCAAAACAGGAAAAGTGCCCCTTATGAGCGGACTAAATAGAAGTTTTCTTGCCCTCCCACCCCATGGGCAGACCGATTAGGAAAAGGCTGCCCTAGGGGGGAGCCAATTAGAAAAAGACGTCTATTCCTCCTTCTAGGCTTGACCCGAACCGCCAGCTGGATTTCAGCCACAACTGTCCCCCTTGCTGGTGTTCAGGACACAAACTCCACAACCCCAAGCGGCAGTCCTGGCAGGCGGGAAGTTCTTGGACTGATGTGAAAGTAACACGGCCGCCGCCGGTAGGTGTCCACCACTCACTCAGCAAACACTGACCCAGCCCCCACCGTGTGCCCTGCTGGCTGCTCGATCTGGGAAACTAGACTTGTAATGAAAAAAAGGGGGAGGAGGGCAGGGAAGACACAATTCCTGGGGTTTGCGCTGGAAAGGTCTAGAAATTTTTCTATTGATCCCTGCCCATCATGATTAAAGAGGTTGGAGACAAAGCGGAATGATAATATAGTGTTCCAGCCCACATGTATTGAGCACCAACTGCACGTAGTCACCGGGCTAACCTCTTCATACATCATGCCCCTTCATCTTCCTGACCCTCTCAGGCAGGTGACGTGGTAGGTAACAGAGGGGCCTCTGAATTTCAAGACTTTTGAAACCTTTCAAGAAAAGTTGTTTCAAACATTCTGCCAGTTCTTGGTATTGCTAAATGTGGAGAACCAAGATCCACTGTACTTTTTTTTGGCCACGCCGCGTGGCATGTGGGATCTTAGTTCCCCAACCAGGGATCAAACCTGTACCCCCCTGAAGTGGAAGCCCAGAGTCCTAACCACTGGACCGCCAGGGAATTCCCAAGGTCCACTGTACTTTTATTTAGGAAATATTTAGGAAATTATTTAGGAGCCTTCTGGTTGTGAAAGGCCAGACGTAGTGCACAGCCAGAAAAGGGTGCTGGGAACATTTGGGGAGGATGAGGAATTGGAAAGGAAGGTTGGGATTTGGGGGCCCAGACTATGGAGTTTAGACTTTGTCCTTCAGCAGTGGGGAGCCACTGAATGTTTTGACACAGGGATGTACTCAGAGCCATCCTTTAGGATGTTCCCTCTGACAGGAGGAGACAGAGAGACCTACTTAGGAGTCATTACAGTGGTCCAGGCCAGAGAAAAGATCTGAACAGCAGCAGGTGAAGATGAGAGAGCAGATGTCAAGAACATTCAGGAAAGAGAGAGAAGAGGGCTTGTACATGGATGGGTAACTGAGAAAAGGTTGGGCTTCTACTCTGGGATTGCCATGGTGATGTGTTGATTGGTCCACCCTGGAGTCAAGAGACCCTGCCCTCCGGCCCCACTCACCGTGTTTATCCATTCTTCCCAAAGCTGTGCTGCCCTCTTCCCTTGACCAGGCCCTGGGATGAGAGGGAGTTCCCACAGAACTTGGTCTGGTCTCTAGGGCCTCTGTTGGATTATGAGGGGGCGGGGCTAGAACCCCACCTGCCCATAGGGTTCCACCCCAGAATAGTTGCCTTTTCTAGAGCTTCCAAAAGCACCCCCAAACAGTACCTTTTCTCTTGGGAAGGTATTAAAGGGATAGAGAGCAACTTTGGCCCCCAATAGACTGGGGTCAAATCCCAGCTTTACCACATAAACATAAAAGCTATTAACATATTACCTTTCTGACCCTCAGTCTCTTTATCTGTAAGTCAGAGATGGCAGTGCGGTACCAGACTTTACCTGGCCCACAGAAAACACTTAAAGCATTATGTTTATTTGCATCACATTTTCTCTTTCTGTTCTATCCGTGTCCTTCCTCACCCTTGCTCCCCAGCCTACTGACTTCCAGCACATTGCTTTAGCTCCGAGAAGCAGAGGACATGGTGTGAAGTCCTGTAGGAAGCAGAACTCGGGCAAGAGCTGGGTGTAGCCCCTGGATGTTCTGTATGTGTGTGAGAGAGCTGGGGCTGGGGAAGGAAATAAAATCATAGAAACTTGGGAGACTCCTTCTTTTCCTGGCCTGACAGTGGGGTGTGTTGGCAGAGTCAGGGGTATGGAGAGGGGCAGAGGATGCAAACCCAGATGTGGAGAGTCTCAGTCTGATGGCATACAGTTGCTGGAGTCAAGGAGATACCAGTCTGATAGGGGAACATGATATGGTCCTCCATCCAGGTCTGAAGCGGGGCGATGGGGTCTCTTCCTTCAGGCATCTCCTAGTTTGGTGGAGCCAGTTTGATGGGAGGTAGAACAAAGTGGGCAGACCAGTCCCCAGGAATCTCATGGGGGCAACACTGTCAAGAACTGTAAAGAGTCTAAAACTTTACCCTACTTGCAAGTTAGCCTGCTGTACTTTCATGGGTGCTGCCAAAAAACCATGAGACTCCTGGGTTGGAGAGAAAGGACCTCATTACTCAAGGCACAGCAGCATCAGCATACCTGTGTCATCTCCTCTTGGCCCACTGTCCCATGGGTGCTATAGGGATGGGTGCCAGGGAATACCTGCATATGCAGTCATTTGCATTATAAGAGGAACCCTGAGCTTAGGGAACCCTAATCTTTCATGCTGGGCAGTAACCAAACCTCTTCTTTGCTCCAGAAAAAGACACTATCTCTACTTCCAAGGTTGTTCACTATATAAACACCCTTGAAAAGTCAGTACCTCTGCTTGCAAGACATGCAAAAATAGGAAAGACCCATGCAGAATTGTCTCCCCTACAAAACCCCATTTTCCTTACATTTACTAAAAGAGCCTATAGCCACCTTGGCTCTTTTTTTCTCAAATAATTTGGTAGCATGCACATTACTTTTTTTTTTAATTTTATTTTATTTTTTTATACAGCAGGTTCTTATTAGTCATCAATTTTATACACATCAGTGTATACATGTCAAACCCAATCACCCAATTCATCACACCACCACCCCCAGCCCCCGCCACTTTCCCCCCTTGGTGTCCATACGTTTGTTCTCTACATCTGTGTCTCAATTTCTGCCCTGCAAACCGGTTCATCTGTACCATTTTTCTAGGTTCCACATATATGCGTTAATATACGATATTTGTTTTTCTCTTTCTGACTTACTTCACTCTGTATGACAGTCTCTAGATCCATCCACATCTCAACAAATGACCCAATTTCGTTCCTTTTTATGGTTGAGTAATATTCCATTGTATATATGTACCACAGCTTTATCCATTCATCTGTCGATGGGCATTTAGGTTGCTTCCACAACCTAGCTATTGTAAATAGTGCTGCAATGAACATTGGGGTGCATGTGTCTTTTGGGATTATGGTTTTCTCTGGGTATATGCCCAGTAGTGGGATTGCTGGATCATATGGTAATTCTATTTTTAGTTTTTTAAGGAACCTCCATACTGTTCTCCATAGTGGCTGTATCAATTTACATTCCCACCAACAGTGCAAGAGGGTTCCCTTTTCTCCCCACCCTCCCCAGCATTTGTTGTTTGTAGATTTTCTGATGATGCCCATTCTAACTGGTGTGAGGTGATACCTCATTGTAGTTTTGATTTGCATTTCTCTAATAATTAGTGATGTTGAGCAGCTTTTCATGTGCTTCTTGGCCATCTGCATGTCTTCTTTGGAGAAGTGTCTATTTAGGTCTTCTGCCCATTTTTGGATTGGGTGGTTTGTTTTTTTAATATTGAGCTGCATGAGCTGTTTATATATTTTGGAGACTAATCCTTTGTCCGTTGATTCGTTTGCAAATATTTTCTCCCATTCTGAGGGTTGTCTTTTTGTCTTATGTTTTCCTTTGCTGTGCAAAAGCTTTGAAGTTTCATTAGGTCCCTTTTTTTTTTTTTTTTTTTTTTTTGTGGTACGCGGGCCTCTCACTGCTGTGGCATCTCCCGTTGCGGAGCACAGGCTCCGGACGCGCAGGCTCAGCGGCCGTGGCTCACGAGTCTAGCCACTCCGCGGCATGTGGGATCTTCCCGGACCGGGGTACAAACCCGTGTCCCCTGCATCAGCAGACAGACTCTCAACCACTGCGCCACCAGGGAAGCCCCCCATTTGTTTATTTTTGTTTTTATTTCCATTACTCTAGGAGGTGGATCAAAAAAGATCTTGCTGTGATTTATGTCAAAGAGTGTTCTTCCTATGTTTTCCTCTAAGAGTTTCATAGTGTCCAGTCTTACATTTAGGTCTCGAATCCATTTTGAGTTTATTTTTGTGTATGGTGTTAGGGAGTGTTCTAATTTCATTCTTTTACATGTAGCTCTCCAGTTCTCCCAGCACCACTTATTGAACAGACTGTCATTTCTCCATTGTATATCCTTGCCTGCTTTCTCATAGATTAGCTGACCATAGGTGCGTGGGCTTATCTCTGGGCTTTCTATCCTGTTCCATTGATCTATATTTCTGTTTTTGTGCCAATACCATATTGTCTTGATTACTGTAGCTTTGTAGTACAGTCTGAAGTCAGGTAGTCTGATTCCTCCAGCTCTGCTTTTTTTCCCTCAAGACTGCTTTGGCTATTCGGGGTCTTTTGTGTCTCCATACAAATTATAAGATTTTTTTGTTTTAGCTCTGTAAAAAATGCCTTTGGTAATTTGATAGGGATTGCACTGAATCTGTAGATTGCTGTGGGTAGTATAGTCATTTCTACAATATTGATTCTTCCAATCCAAGAACATGGTATATCTCTCCATCTGTTGGTATCATCTTTAATTTCTTTCATCAGTGTCTTATAGTTTTCTGCATACAGGTCTTTTGTCTCCCTAGGTAGGTTTATTCCTAGGTGTTTTATTCTTTTTGTTGCAATGGTAAGTGGGAGTGTTTCCTTAATTTCTCTTTCAGATTTTTCATCATTAGAATATAGGAATGCAAGAGATTTCTGTGCATTAATTTTGTATCCTGCAAATTTACCGAATTCATTGATTAGCTCTGTAGTTTTCTGGTGGCATGTTTAGGATTCTCTATGTATAGTATCATGTCATCTGCAAACAGTGACAGTTTTATTTCCTCTTTTCCTATTTGTATTCCTTTTATTTCTTTTACTTCTCTGATTGCCGTGGCTAGGACTTCCAATACTATGTTGAATAATAGTGGTGAGAGTGGGCATCCTTGTCTTGTTCCTGATCTTAGAGGAAATGCTTTCAGTTTTTCACCATTGAGAATGATGTTTGCTGTGGGTGTGTCGTATATGGCCTTTATTATGTTGAGGTAGGTTCCCCCTATGCCCACTTTCTGGAGAGTTTTTATCATAAATGCGTGTTGAATTTTGTCAAAAAGCTTTTTCTGCATCTATTGAGATGATCACACGGTTTTTCTTCTTCAGTTTGTTAATATGGTGTATCACATTGATGGACTTGCATATATTGAAGAATCCTTGCATCCCTGGGATAAATCCCACTTGATCATGGTGTGTGATCCTTTTAATGTGTTGCTGGATTCTGTTTGCTAGTGTTTTGTTAAGGATTTTTGCATCTATATTCATCAGTGATATTGGTCTGTAATTTTCTTTTTTTGTAGTATCTTTGTCTGGTTTTGGTATCAGGGTGATGGTGGCCTCTTAGAATGAGTTTGGGAGTGTTCCTTCCTCCGTAATTTTTTGGAAGAGTTTGAGAAGGATGGGTGTTAGCTCTTCTCTAAATGTTTGATAGAATTCACCTGTGAAGCCATCTGGTCCTGGACTTTTGTTTCTTGGAAGATTTTAAATCACAGTTTCAATTTCAATACTTGTGATTGGTCTGTTCATATTTTCTATTTCTTCCCGGTTCAGTCTTGGAAGGTTATACTTGTCTAAGAATTTGTCCATTTCTTCCAGGTTGCCCATTTTATTGGCATAGAGTTTCTTGTAGTAGTCTCTTAGGATGCTTTGTATTTCTGCGGTGCCTGTTGTAACTTCTCCTTTTTCATTTTTAATTTTATTGACTTGAGTTCTCTCCCTCTTTTTCTTGATGAGTCTGGCTAATGGTTTATCAATTTTGTTTATCTTCTCAAAGAACCAGCTTTTAGTTTTATTGATCTTTGCTATTGTTTTCTTTGTTTCTATTTCATTTATTTCTGCTCTGATCTTTATGATTTCTTTCCTTCTGCTAACTTTGGGTTTTGTTTGTTCTTATTTCTCTAGTTCCTTTAGGTGTAAGGTTAGATTGTTTGAGATTTTTCTTGTTTCTTGAGGTAGGATTGTATTGCTATAAACTTCCGTCTTAGAACTGCTTTTGCTGCATCCCATAGGTTTTGGATCGTCGTGTTTTCATTGTCATTTGTCTCTAGGTATTTTTTGATTTCCTCTTTGATTTCTTTAGTGATCTCTTGGTTATTTAGTAACGTATTGTTTAGCCTCCAAACGTGTTTGTGTTTTTTACGTTTTTTTCCCTGTCATTCATTTCTAATCTCATAGTGTTGTGGTCAGAAAAGATGCTTGATATGATTTCAATTTTCTTAAGTTTACTGAGGCTTCATTTGTGACCCAAGATGTGATCTATCCTGGAGGATGTTCCGTGAGCACTTGAGAAGAAAGTGTAATCTGCTGTTTTTGGATGGACTATCCTATAAATATCAATTAAATCTATGTGGTCTATTGTGTCATTTAAAGCTTCTGTTTCCTTATTTATTTTCATTTTGGATGACCTGTCCATTGGTGTAAGTGAGGTGTTAAAGTCCCCCACTATTATTGTGTTTCTGTTGACTTCCTCTTTTATAGCTGTTAGCAGTTGCCTGATGTATTGAGGTGCTCCTGTGTTGGGTGCATATATATTTATAGTTGTTATATCTTCTTCTTGGATTGATCCCTTGATCATTATGTAGTGTCCTTCCTTGTTTCTTGTAACATTCTTTATTTTAAAGTCTATTTTATCTGATATGAGTATTGCTACTCCAGCTTTCTTTTGATTTCCGTTTGCATGGAATATCTTTTTCCATCCCCTCACTTTCAGTCTGTATGTATCCCTAGGTCTGAAGTGGGTCTCTTGTAGACAACATATATATGGGTCTTGTTTTTGTATCCATTCAGCAAGCCTGTGTCTTTTGGTTGGAGCATTTAATCCATTCACATTTAAGGTAATTATAGATATGTATGTTCCTATGACCATTCTCTTAATTGTTTTGGGTTTGTTTTTGTAGGTCCTTTTCTTCTCTTGTGTTTCCCACTTAGAGAAGTTCCTTTAACATTTGTTGTAGAGCTGGTTTGGTGGTGCTGAATTCTCTTAGCTTTTGCTTGTCTGTAAAACTTTTGATTTCTCCATCGAATC